CTTGACCCCTCAGTCACCTGATTTATTAAACTTTAATCTGTTTAAAACTTGCAAACATTTACATTTCACAGCATGAATATTTTCTAAGCCAGTTAACCTAGACAAGAGGTGGATTAGCATTTTGTTGCTTTTAATTATGTTTCCTGTATCCTTTGGCCTGCTGGATATCTTAAGCAAGGGGATACCCACATCTGGACTGAAAGTATGTTTGAGGTCTGTTAAAAACCACAAGCACATCGACTGCAAAATCTAGTTTGTATCAGGGTCAGTGGATGCTCTCTTTATGATTTGTTTACCTGCCTGTTCAACTTGTGATAAATGTATGGGGACATTTATATCCACTGTATCGTCCTCATATACTGGTTCAGAACTGATTTTTCATGGAGTGACTCTGAACTAAACACTTTTCAATACTTCCATTGAAACTGGTTTATTTGTGTTTTGTCCCACTATCTTAAACTCTTCCAGGCAATTGAAACCTCAAATAAAACAGAACTCAGGGAAACTCAACCAGAAGTCAACACTAGCACCATCTACAGTTCACTGCTACACTTGAGTGGCACTGGTAGTTTTCTCCATGTTTAGCCCGTTCTGGAAATGAAACTCAGTGCAAGAGAAACTTAATGAAGAGAAACTTAATGAAGTGAAACTTAATGAAGAGAAACTTAATGAAGTGAAACTTAATGAAGAGAAACTTAATGAAGTGAAACTTAATGAAGTGAAACTCAGTGAAGTGAAACTCAGTGAAGTGAAACTCAGTGAAGTGAAACTCAGTGAAAAATAGAAAGCTCAAAAATAAAATGTATTTACAAAGTACACAACTCCAATAACTTGAGTTTCTGACAGTGTGTTAAGCAGACTGTGTCTCTACATTTGGATTTCTGAATGCTTTTTGTTTTAATACTTTCAGTGTTTAACAGCCACTATTGTATGAACAGTGGCTCCATTCTGCATAAGGGTTTTGTCAGGAAGGGCATTCAATTCAATTTTATTTCTATAGCCCCAAATTACACACAACAGTTGCGTCAAGGCACTTAATATAGTAAAGTAAAGATCCTACACGAATACAAAAACCAGAAAAAAGCCAGCAATCATATGACCCCCTATTAGCAAGCGTTGGAGACAGTGGGAATGAAAAACTCCCTTATATCAGGTGAAAAAAATCTGCTAGAACTACACAGATCTACCTGCTGTGGTAACTGCTTGTGAATAAGGGAACAGCTCAAATTAGCTTTGAATAAACTCTGTGTGATTAAACAAGCTCATTAAAAGCTGAGCTGTCAGCACTGACTCACCTGAAGAAGACGTTGAAGCCGAACATGGTGAACATGATGGCCATGTAGCCCAGAACCCCGACTGCATAACTCAGCTTGTAGATGAGCAGAAACCACTTGTAGACCATCCTGGAAATTCAAAAAGAAAAAGACAATAGTTGTCCTGTTAGTCATCATTCACCATGACACACTGTCATGTGTCACTGGACACCTCTGCTTTGAATAAAAGGGTTTAAATTAGGAGCTAATTGGTTTTGCTTTGTTAAATTTTATGTATGTATATCTTTTTATTTGCCTTTGTTTTGTAGTTTTGTTGGTTTTATGTTTTTCATCTTATTATAAAGTATTAACAAGGCCAAAAAGGGCTCACAAGTGTATAAACAGAAAATACTTAATTTTAAAGCTTGATTTCTACATTATTTATAAACATAATGACCCAGATGTCTACAACTGTAATGGAACTCTAGTTCTAAACTGCATAATAATTAGCCAAAGGATAAAATACGGGGTAATTGTATGCAAGTTGCCATACCCCAGATCCGTTGTGAAATCTTCGGTCTTTCCTTTATTTCAGTAAAATAAACTCTTTAGTTTGTCTCCACCGTTCCCCTTACCTCGGCGTCCTGCAGGACAGCGGCTTGCGGGTGGCTCTGAAGATGACGTAGCTAGTGATGACGGAGAACATCCCCCACATGGACAGAAAACGCCACCAGTACAGTTTGATGGTGAAGTAAAGAGGAACCACCCACATCTGGACCAGAGTCACCAGCTGTTGAGGACAGAGACAAAGTCCGTATTCAGTATCAGACTAAGCCTGCTACATACAGTGGTGCGAATGGTAAAAAGCAGGTTTCTTCTCTCCCAGAGGTCCAAGTCCTTTATACAAGATCCTTCATTCACCCAGTCACACAAACTAAACTTTAGCTGCTTTTTCACTAACATTCACACACATTAACAGCAATTTGGAGTCACCATCTTTCCCAAGGAGAATTGCCTGAAGCAGAGTAAATACAACATGAATTATTTCCAAAAGTTATCCAAACCTACCTGGCCATAAGTGAAAAACTAATTGCCCCTAATCCACATAACTGGTTGTGCGACCCTTGTGGGGAAAAAAAAACTGCAAACAACTAACTGCCAATGAGCACCATGGAGGAATTTTGGTCCACTCTTCTTTGCAGAATTGTTTTAAATCAGCCATAATGGTGGGGTTTTGAGCATGACCTGTTTAAGGTGAGGCCAAAGCATCATGACTGGTCCAGACTTTCACTGAGCCACCCCAAAACCTTCAATTTGGTGTTTTTGGAATCAGTCACTCGTGGATTTGTTCTGCTGCATAATTGAACTAAACTTAACTGGACATTATCCTTCAGGATTTTCACCTGCAGATGGGGAAACAGCATTGTTGTACATCACTGTTAGCAGGAGTGAGCATTTGCTAACAGCTGCAGTTAAGCTTACATGTCCTGTCTCTCAGGAGCCTGAGAAAACTTAATCCTCAATATTAAAATATAAAAAAATAGTTTTATTTTAAACCTATTCAGCGTTACTTTGTACTTACACGAATAACAATGGCACCAGGCAAATAAAGACAAACATCCTGTGCATTAAACCTTGCAGCTTCTAACCACAGCTGATGCCAACTTTATAATAGGTTTCACACAGGAAAAGGTACAGCAGAAACGTTCAGGACGTGGTCAAATTTCTTCTCAAACCGCCTCCTCTAGCTTCTTTCCATCATCAGAGAACAAGAAACTTTTGATCGTTTCTACAACTGAAAATCTGACATTTGGCTTTACAGAAACCTCGCCATGTGGCTTGTGCTTACCAGAATTATTGGGCCATACTCAACCTTTCAACTTCTACTGCATGCTTAAACTTTTGTTAGTATGGTCATGATGCACATGGTTAAAGCTGTTAACACTCCTCACTTTAACTGCTCAAATGATTACGCAGAAATCAATTTGATATACAGCACCATCGCAACAACAGTCGGCTCAGAGAACCTTATACTGTATTGTAAAGACCCCACAATAACACAGGGAAACCCCCAACAATCAGAGAACCTCCTATGAGCAAGCACTTTGGCGGCAGCGGGAAGGAAATTCTTCCTTTAAACAGGAAGTAACCTCAGACAGAACCAGACTCAGGGAGGGGCGTTTTTTATTTATTTGGTTTTTCTTTTTTGGCTGTTGTACATTGTAGATGCTTCCTTCCCAGATAGAGATCAGTGCTGTTTGTTCAGGTGGGACTCACATGAGCTTGTACCTCACTGTCTGAAACTAAAACTAGTGCACAGGCTGCTCTCTCAGATATTTTTAACCCCATCCCCAAAATTGTGTTATTTAATGTGTTAAATAACACAATTTAATGTGTTATTTAACCCTCTGGGGTTGACAGACGCGGCGGCACGTCATAATGGCGATTTAAGATGACAGCGAGACAGAGCCTCACTGAGATCAGTTTCAATTTGTGTTGGAAGTGCAAACTTCAAACTACGTACCAGTTTTTAAATTGTGTTGATAGGCCAAGAAAAAGTTATGATTAATAATATTCGCATACTCCCCGTTTACTGCAAGAAGAGACGATAAACACCAGACAGCGCTCGCATTGCAAGCGAAACCCCACAACATGGCATCCCCGTTCTTACTGGTGAAAAATTAACCACATCAATCAATCAAAAAAATAAATAAATATGGCAATCTACAACATTTGGTTGCTGAGGCTGAGGGAAAGATTGTGGGAGCTATGGCGGCAAGTGATTGACAGCAATATTGATAGTGAGTTTTGAAAATTTGTTGTTGTTTTAAGTGTCACAACAATGAGACGGCTACTTAATGTGGATCAGGCATTGAAACCTTTTTTAGGCTGTAAGTAGTTTCGGAGCCAGACCGGAGAGTGACGAGTATGACGATGAAGTGGAAGATACACTTTTTGTTCTACAAGAGGTAAAGAGAGGAAGAGGAGGGGAGGAAGAAGAGCCTCTCACATCCACACAGAGTGCACTAGGAGGTCTGCAGAGAGAGGGAAGGCGTGACACACCCACCAGGTCCAGATCTCCACTGGCCCAGGCAGCAGAGCCACACCTCAGCTCTGAGTCCTGGAAGTCAGAGAAGGATGCTGACATTGTCCCAGAATTTAGCAGAACACCAGAAGTCCAGATAGAGACACTTTGCCCTCATAGCCCAACAGACTTTTTCTTATCGTTTTTTGCTACTGACACAGTCAATACACATTTGTGCAAACACGAACAAAAATGCTGCAAACAAATAAATAAAAAATAAATAAACAAAAATCATAATTTAGGCAAAAAATACAAATGCACTGAGACAGAACATCTATCAGTTTTTTGGTCTCCTGATTTACATGTCACTTGTGTCACTTCCAATCTCAGAGATTACTGGAGACTAGGGATGCAACGATACCAATTTTTTCAAACCGATACGATACCGATACTTGGATCTGAGTACTTGGCGATACAGAGTACAAAAACCGATACTTCTACCACACACACACACAAATGCGATGAATTGGAAGACAGGTTTTATTTTATTTTCTGCTGATAATAAATAATATCTTTATAAAAATGACCACAAAAAAATTTCAAGTGAAAGTCATCCAGAGCGATAAAATGAGTCAGAGCCTCCGTTATTTTAACTGCCCGTGGATTTTCTCTCGACATTTTTCTTTGCTTTTCCAAAACCTGAGTTAAAGTTGGCTGTTCCGGTCCACACTGCTGACATTTTGTTTAGCCTAGCTACA